ATATATGATCGTACTCTAAAAACTTATTAAGGTCAATATTTAGAGTCTAGCCCTAATACTAATTGTTGTTTCAAAAGGCAATCCACGAGGGGGTGAATTGGGTTTTTTTGCAGAAGTTAAGTACGTAAAAATTTAAAAAATTGAATCAATACAATTCACCCAAAGCAAATACAAAACAATTTACATAAAATAAGGAGATGAACGATAAGAAATGCAAACTTTTTTATAGTGGTTCAATTGATATCCAAATCTATGTCCACTCTCTCGAGCTCCAATCAATCAAGGTTCAACTAAATCCCTTGCACCTAATGAAGACAAGAATCCCTAATTACAAACAAAGTCTTTGATTTGGTAAACTTCAAATACCAATACAAATTGTAGTAGAGATGATGTAGAATGTAATAATTTCTCTCAAGTAAAATTAGCTACCACTCATTTACAAACGACCTCATTTCAAATAGGCACTCTTAAGAATTAAACAATTAACTGTAACTCTTTGTTCAAGTAATAGACAGTATATTACAAAACAAAAAAGAGAGAGAGAATTAGGAAACTTTGAAAGCTTGTTCTTGGATTCCTTCAATTTGTGCTCCTTTTATAGACAAAATCACCAAAGAGAAATTGGATATACATTAGGCAATTCTTAGCCTTTTGTGAAATAGTAGAAGACAAATTTGAATCTTCTGTCAGCAATAACAGCACATAAACTCAATTTGCAAATTCACAAAAATAGCTTCCAACATTTGAAAAATCCTAAAAAATAATATGAACACTCTAAAATGAGTCTATTTTTAAACACAACAAGAACCATTGGATAATAATCTACCGTTTGAGAGAAATGGTTTATTTTCCAAGTACATGTTAGACCTAAAAACTGCTTCTATCAAAATTTTTTAGTCAATTTCAAAATTATCTAGAGACTTGCATTCTCAACCAAAAATAATAAATTACATATTTTTTTAAAGGAACATAATGTCTTTTTTCATTTGAAATTGGATTTGTACAACTTTTATTTTTATATTTTAAGATATGATTAAAATAACATAGTATACTCATTCTATCTGTTAACAATATAACTCAACATAATGACTCAATTACAAAAATTATATCTACTTAACTATAACTGTAAAACGTGCATGTAATATATCTATTTAAAGCTTGACACATTTATTTTACAATAAAATAAAATTAAAATTTTGATAGTACTATAAATATATTTTACTATTTAAAATTTATATGGTGTAGATTTTAACAATGAGTTTTTCAGAAGATAATATATAAAAGTGATATAAAAAACTATTTTAAAATAGAATAGTATATGAGATAAAATATATATCAAAATAACGTATTTGAGTATAGTTTTATATAAAATTAACCTTGCTATTTTTAAAATCTTATATAGCAAGATATGATCAACTTATTACATGTATGTCTAATTTTATAATTTCACTTTTTAGCACATGTAGTGTATGTATCTCCAAATAATAAACTCAACAAAATGAATTGTCAACATTGCCCATTATAAATATATGCATATAACAATTTTAATTTTTTTTATTATCAGAATAACTATGAAACCTTGAGACTAACAAGTTGGACTTTGTCGATTCTCTTCTCAAGTACAGTTGGATAGGTTGAAAGGCTTGTTGATTTATTTTTAGAAGTATCTGCCAGAAATATCTAAAGATTCTTGGGCTTGGAGGAAGCTTAGTTGAGTCTTGAATTTTTAGAGAATGTTTTCCCTCCATTCAATAGAAAATAGCTAGCTAGCAAGGGTGGTGCTAGACTATCACATGGAGTTGACATAGTAGGCTAGTTTCTGTTCAATTTTGTTATATGTATATCATCCTATTGTCTGTTCAGTTTTGTTATATGTATACCGTCCTATTGTCTGTTCAGAGGAACTGATGTATTCGTACCCCATTGGTTTGAAATAGAAGGTCAATTAGTAGTCTGATATTTAGATTTGGAGACCGAATTTGCTTTAAGGGGGAAGATTGTAAAATCTTGAATATAGGAAATTAAATAAATTAAAAGGTTAATGGTGTTAATTAAAAGGAATGAGAAATTCTGGGTTCAATTGAAAATTTTAGGGGCTAAATTGTATAAAATAAATATTTAAAGGGCCTGAATATAAATATTAAAATTTGGCCAAGGACTAGATTGCATTAAGGCCTAAAACTAGGGACTCAATTGCAAAATCCAAAAATTTGATACTAAAACTGTCCGTAATGAAAGATTCACAGTAATTAATCATAACAATGCTATTAAATCCAAACATTTTTGCTACAACATTGTTTATACTCTTGTGCGACTAGAAGTTAGGTGCAAAAACCCCAATAAAAAATTTAGAAAGATTTGTGTTATGTTGGATTAATTTATTTGTTTTTCATCCCGAAAGTCGTCCATCACTCAGATGCTTTCCAAATTTGATTCTATCCAATTCAATTGATTGTTAGCTAATTAGACACTTTGGTGGCCTTTGCCTAGGCAATCCGAACAAGCCAGTAGATTCAAATTGCAAAGAATTGATTGAAGTGTGAGGTAATTTTCATATTTTTATATTCGGTTTACTTTGGATATATACGGGTATTTCATGGATTTCTGGTCTAGGTAATTGAGCTAGGTTGGTATGTTGTGGGCTATGGAATTGGGTTAATGGCTTGTAGGCCACATTAGGTCAGTCCATACGGGCTGGGCTAGAAAAAAATGTTATTAATTTGGACTGGGACCATTATTGGATCAAGGCTTTGTACTTTGGGTTGGGTTATATTTCTATATATGCAGGTTAGGCCATGACCAATTTGGGCCAAGCCAGAAAAATTTATCTTGGGTTGTGGGTTTCAAGTTGGAGTAGGATCCAGATCTGAGATTCGGATCCATGTACCAAAAAATAATTAAAATAATAGAAAATTGCCAGAAAAAGGAAAATTGGTTGGTTCATGGGTTGTTAGACCAATTCATGGCCAGTTAAAGGTATGTGTAGGAAGGGAATTAAATTGCCTATTTGGTTCACGACCGGTTCAAGAGTAAACCACCCAGTTCAATGGTGAATTGGGCGGTCCAATGTCAAAGAAATTAAGAAAAATTAGAAAACCACCGGTTCAACATATTTAAGACTAGTTTAATGTAAATTCTAACTGATTCAATGGTTCTAAGTCTGGTTTAGTGACTTTTATAACCGGTTCAGTGTATTTCAAGGCCGGTTCAATGGGTTTTATGACTAGTTTAATGGATTTAAGTGTGGTTCAATGGGTTTTGTGACCAATTCAGTGAGTTTCTTGGCCGGTTCAGTGGTTCTATAACCGGTTTAGTGAGTTTCATGTCCAATTTAGTGTGTTTAAGGTTCGGCTCAATGTTGTTTTGATCAGTTTATGGTTGGTTCAACTTTCTAGTGACCGGTTGAAGTCCGGTTTAGTACTTTAATGATTGAAATAAAGGATAATTAGACAAGTTATTATTTTATGAGCCCGGTTCAAGGATTTAATGCTTAGGATATGAATTATATGATCAGTTTGGGACTTTAAGAATTCCTGATATGAGCTTGAATACGAAAACCTAAGAGGATAGTAAGGTTTTGATGGGAATTTGAATTTAAATTAATTATGAGATGAATTATATTCTAAAATAAGATTTTTGATTATTTCTAGATTGAGTAATCGATTCTTGTGATGCCGATGTGCCGAAGCTCAAGTTTTGTGGTTCTCTATTTTTGTGAGTAGTAATATGTATTTATATGCTTCGTTATTTTCTATATTTGTTAAATGATGAATTTTACATAAATTGCTTATAAATTCAGTTGTTTCGAAATTGAAATTTAATATGTTATAAAATCTTACAAGGGACGTATATGAAATTTTTTGATTTGTTTGGAAGTTTCCTGAACTATTGATTCTATTTCTGATATGTTAAACATTGAAAATCTATAAAACTGATTTTCTATTACTATTATGTTTGGACACTTTGAAAAGTTGTAAACTATTACTGGTAAACTTTGGAAAATGTTTAAGGGAGTATCAAATGATTAGAATACTGTAACGAACGGCAGTATGCGTTAGACTTGGTACACCTTGGCCTGTATTCCAAGCTAGCATGGGTAGTGCTAGACTATCACATGGAGCTGACGTGATAGGCCTGTTTCTTGATTATGGTGGATACCGTCCTGTTGTCTGTTCAGTTCTGTTATATGTATACCAGCAAACCATGAGGTTGCCGTCTTGATTTCTGTTCCGTTCTCTGTTACGAACTCCCTAACTTGTTTAAGTTTGAAAAGTTTGTTTTATGATGGAAATTATATGATATATGTCATTTGTCATGTAAATATGTATTACTATTCACTGAGTTGTCAGACTCATCCTTTTATTTTTCTAGACTCAGATTCTGTGCGCTAGGCTGATCCTGATCTGTGATAGTAGTTTGCCAATCCCGATTCCATGATTCTAGCCCATCTGACTTCTAAGTATAGTAGTTGGTCTTTTGTCTTCTTTCTGGTGTGTATTTTGTTTTAGTTTGCTTAGTGATCATAAACAGGATTTGATTTTATGGAATTGCATATGTTGATATTTGTATTAGATTTTTGAAAGTTTGTATCAGATTTTGCGAGCCTATATTAAGTGTAGTTTTAATTGGTTCTATTATAATTCTGATCATTTGAGGCTTGCAGGGTTGGGATTATCCTAACCCTAGTGCCGGTCATGGATCCAACTCCCAGGTCATGACATAGACATTAATAACAAAATAACTTTTATTTCAAGGAAACCCAAAATACTCCATAGTACTTGTAACAACACAAACATTCCATGATCAAGGATAACTACATAGGCCTTGATACTTTTATTGAAAACTACATAAACATTCCATGAAACAAACATAGGCCTTGGTACTTTTATTGAAAACTACGTAAACATTCTATGACCGGATTTTTCTTTTTAACAAGGATAAACTTCAATAAGAGATCTTAAACCAAGAATAGGGTAATCTTGTATTCACTGAAACCAGCTTCAGAAAAAGAGTTTTGCCCATTCCTTATCAGTTCTCTCTCTACCAGTTAGCAAAATCATCACCAACATGTCAAAGAAGAGTTGTGTTTCTATTGACTCATTGTCTTCTTTCTTGTTCTCTACCACCATGTCTATGATTATTACCTTCCCTCCCTTCTCCTTGCTCGGGATTGCTTCTTCGCATCGCTTCAGTATTTTTATATTCTCTTCATCGCTCCAGTCATGCAAGATCCACTGTAATTATAATTGTTAATTACTCCAATTAATGGTAATCAATAGTATCTCTTTTTTATACATAAAAAATAGAAAAATTAAAGATATTAAAGCATGAATGCAAAATTATAGCTATTCGTGATTAGAAATATTTTGGAGTTTTCAATAAAAGGGAGTAGAGAAATTGAAATGGCCAAGACATTAATTACCTTTTCTTTTTAACTTTTCGCTTTTCTTTTTTTAATAATCAAAACTACTTTTAACTTTGTTTTATATAAAAGCCAAGAAAGGCAATTTTTAATATCTTTATAGATATGCCATAATAGTCCTCAATCCAATTTGATTCTTTTAAAATATTAGATCAACAATTAAACCAAAAAAAAACCATCACAGTCTAATGAATTAGGTAGAATTTCAAATAAACTCGCTATGTAGACATTGGTTGAATGGGTCATTTTTCGTGTATGTAACTATAAAATAATCTTGTTATTGTCAAAGATAGAAGCATCTAGGTTAGACAATATGGTGTGGCAAGTAACAAGGAGGGTGCGTGCAATGTAATTTCCTTGAAAGTTTTTCTTCTTTAAAGTCTTTTTCTTTGTATAAGTCTTTTTCTTTTTCGAAATAATTTAGGCTATTTTGTGATATTTTATAAAAAAATAAAAAACATTACCTTGTTTCCAAGAGAGAAAATTAAGAAGAAATTCAATATTACCTTTAATAAAATAGCATCAACACGAGGAATAGCTTCAAACATGTCACCTCCAACATAGTTCAAAATCTTGCTACCTTCCAATCTAGCAACCACATGAGGAAGATCCAACACAGTGCACTTCAAGTGTGGGTAAGCGTTAGCAATGGACTTTGCCACTGTGCCAGTGCCTCCCCGACATCAACCAATGAGTTCAACTTTTCAAAACATCCCTTACAATCCTTAATGACCACACTGGCGACTAACCGGCATCACTAGCCATTACTTCATTGAAGGATTTGTTAAGCCTCGGCTCATGGCCTGCATAGTCCCACAATGTCCTCCCATGAGTCGTATAAAACAGCGTGACATCATCATTTTGGAACCATTCACTCACATGGTGCCATGGCATTGTCAACACAGGATCCAGCATAAAAGCCAAATTGTAGAAGCCAAACAAGTTGACTGTGCATTCCCAGTGAAAATCTATCAGCAATCTAGGGAATTTTGAGGTAAATTCTTCAAATTTTTCTAAAAATTTGGAATCAAGGCTAATTTCAGGAGCCAGGTCTAGAAAACAAACCTGGTTAGGAATTTGAGTCTGCCTTGACCTAGATCCCTTGATAAAAGGGTTGGATAGTGGTTTGGGTTGAACTTTAAAAAAGGCTTGGGTCTATGGTTGTTGGTCCACGACTAGTGGGCTAACTACACTTGGCTAGATGTTCTAAGTCTTAGGTTTTCGATTTGGGCAAGATCCAAATCTGGGATCTGAATCCATATATCAAAAAATAACTTAATTAATTTAATAAATAATAGAAAAATTAGAAAACTGACTAATTCAAGGGTTTTATAACTGGTTCATTTCCAATTCAAGGCACCATAAGCTTAATTAATTAATAAACCAATTGGTTAACTGCCGATTCAAGGATAAAACTAGCTGGTTCAATGGTAAAATCAAGGGATTAGGGTTTTTAATTATTAGTTCAACACTAATACAGCTGATTTAATGCGTTTCATGACCAGTTTGGTAGATTTAAGACTAGTTCAGTGGATTTTATGGCCGATTCAGTGGATTTCATGACTAGTTTAGTGGATTTAAGGTTGATTCAGTGGGTTTTCTGGTTGGTTCAATGGGTTTCATGGTCGGTTCACTAGGTTTATAGCCGATTCAGTAGGTTCCATGACCGGTTAAGTGATGTTATGACTGGTTCATGATTGATTCAACCTTCTAGTCACTGGCTCAATGATGGTTTGGCATTTTAATGGTTGGTTTAAAGGGTAAGTACATCGATTTTATGTTTTATGAGCCCAATTCAAGATATTATTACTCGAGATGTGGTTTATTTGATCAGTTTAGGAAACATGAAAACCTAAGTACATATTCGGGTTTTGGAGGGGAATTTAACTTTAAATTAATTATGAGATATATTGCATCCTAAAATATGAATTTTGTTATTTTTAGATTGATTGTTCGACTCTTGTTGAGCTGTATTGCCGAAACTTGGATTTCATCATTCTCTGGTTCTGTGACTAGTAATACGTATTTGTACATTTTTATTACTTTCCCTACCATCTACATGTCTAGTTTTTACACAATGTGTTACTAGTTATTTCAAAATTTGGAATTTAATTTGCTATAAAAGCTCACAAGGGACATGAATGTCATTATTTGATTGGGTTGGAAAATTTCCTAAACCAGTTGATTTTTATTACTGTTATGTTTAAGCATTTGAAAACTTGTAAACCGTTTCTGTTAAACTCTAGAAAACTGCTTTAAGAGAGTATTGAACTGTTAGAACACTGTAACTAATGATAATAAGCATTAGACTAGGCGCACCTTGGCTTGTATTCCAAGCTAATAAGGTGGTACTATACTATCATGTTGAGTCGACATGATATGCCTGTTTATTGATTATTGGTGGAATGAGTGGTTGTTGTCTTGTTACATATATATCAGTAGACTGTGAGATCGTCGACCTATTTCCTATTAAGTTCTTTGTTACAAACTCCCTAAACTTATGTAAGCTATAAAATCCATTTTTATGAAAATAATTATTTGATATATGTTTCTTGTTCATATATATACATATTACTATTCACTAGGTTGGTAAACTCATTTATTTTATTTTTCAGACTTAGTTTCTACTGTCTCGATAGATCTTGCTGCTTAAAAGGAGTTTGTTCACTCTGAAACCTTGATTTTTGACTAAAGCAGTTAGTCCTTATTCTACATTACTATCTAACTTGCTTAGTTTGCTCATTGTTAGCTTTGTTGATCATGAATAGGATTTTAGATGTTTTGACATTTGCACTAGGATTTGAAATTATGGTTTAGACTTACTGTTATATTGGCTTTATTGTTATAATTATTTAATAGCTTCAACCTATGAAAGGCTTGCAGGGTTGGAACTCATCCTAACCCTAGCGCCGGTCATGAGTCAAATTTCTAAGTTGTGACAAAGTTGGTATCAGAGTTCTAAGTTATCTGTGATCATTTGTAGGATATCGCTTATGATTATGAGCTAGCCATTTTCATAATCGAGATGCTATAAAAGGGCGATTAGGAGTTGTTTTGATCTCACTTGCTAATTCAATCTTGTACTCATTCTGACCCTTATTGTTTAGTGATTCTGAAGATGCCCCGAGACTGATCACCTTCTCTTGAGGTACAGTTAGATAGATAGCCTTCCATACCAACTAGAGGATGGGGCAAACCTAGAGGCAGAAGAAGAGGTCATGGGAGGATGACCAGCCGAGTTGGACATGTGGAGCTGGAAATGGATACTCGATTTGCTAATAATTCAAACAAAGTGGTTGAGGTTATGCAAGGAATGTAGGGCATGTAGCAAACGATGATAGCGAGCATGACGGAGATATAGTAGACTCTAGTTACTCTGATGGAGAGGTTAGTGGACCAGGGGAGGACCGAAGCTTTAAATAATCCAGTCTTGGAGCACCAAAGGTTGGATTGAGTTCAACTCTAAGGACTTGTGAGGCTTTGCCAGGGATTGGGTAGGAGTTGACACAAAAGAGGTAGGACGTTCAGACAGAAGTTGGGACTGCACAAGTAGTTCCAAAGTAGCATATGGTTAGCCTTGAGAGTTAAGTTCAAGATTTTCTCATATTTAGGCACTAACTTTTTCTAGGTGGGGGAGCTTTGAGGATCCACAGCAATTCATTGATTAGATGGAGATTTTATTCGAGGTAATAAAGTGTTCCAGTCTCAGGTGTGTAGAGTTGGCTATATGTAGATTACATGATCTATCACGATCTTGGTATATGACCACATTGTCTCGGAGACCTCAAGAGGTGGCACTGATGACTTGGGATGAGTTTGTGATTGCCTTTATGGATGGATTTTTATTAGCTAATAAGAGGGATCAGTTGACAATAGAGTTTTAGTGTCTTCGACAGGCCCTTAGTATGACAATTTCAGATTATGACGCTTGCTTCAATCATCTTTCCAAATATGCTCCATATTTGGTGACTGATGAGCGAGGCAAGGCTACGAGGTTCATTTGGAGATTAGTAAAGCCTTTATTCTAAGTTCTAGCCCCTCATATGGGAAAATATACATATACTGAGGTGATGGATGTAGCTCAGGCAATTGAGGCTAGGGGTTTTGAGCAAAGGACTCTTAAGGAAATAAGAAAAAAGGCTAAGCACTCAAAATCCTTTAGTGGCAATTAGAGTTCTCATTTGGAATCTAGTTTTCAAAGCCAACAATGCCTTGTTTAGACTAGGCTAACAAACTCTAGTCATCTATCTAAGCTATCTCAGCACTAGCTTGCGAGACGAGGCGCATGGTACAGTCAGAGTAGTATAGCTTAGTGCCACATAGTTAGGAGTACCAAACTTGTCGCACTTATGGGCGTAAGCATCGAGGGTGCTATTGTAGAGAGAGTGGTGCTTGTTATTGGTATGACGACTTTGGGCACGAGATTAGAGACTATCCACAAATGCAAATTAGTGATACTTAGGCAGTAGGTCAGTCGAATAGAGCAGTTTCATCAGTTCTTGAGCAGTTGGTTCTGGGGCAAGGATGAGGCTTTGGTGGTAGGGGACATGGCCAGTCCGAGAGAGACCAGACATGTGTATGCACATTGACTAGGTAGGATGCCCAAGTGTCCAACGTAGTGGTGATAGGTTTGATCACAGTTGGCTCATTTGATGTATGTGCATTTTTTGATTCGGGATTGTCTCAGTCTTATATGTCTCCAAGTTCTGCTATTCGATTCAGTTTTCTATCTGTTGCTTTGGAGTAGCCTTTTCTTGTTGCTATTCCTATAAGGGAGCTTGTTCTAATTAGGCAAGTATACAAGTCCTACTTAGTTAGAGTTGTGGATAGGGACTTCACAACTGATTTGATTGTTTTGGATATCATTGACTTTGATATGATAGTGGATATAAATTAGTTGACCTCTAGTATGACACTTGGACTGCCATACCAAGATTGTGAGGTTTGAGGCACCTGGTGAATCACCACTCGTATTTCAGGGCGATTATAGCTTAGCCCAGCTCGAGTGATTTCTTATTTGAGGCCTAGGTGATTATTATAGAAAGGATGTCAGGGATTCTTGGCTTTAACTAGAGACACCTGAGTCTCAAACGTAGCATAGAATCAGTTTCAATTGTGAGTGAGTGTGCTGATGTGTTTCTTGAGGAGTTGCCTAGTATCCCTCCTAAGTGGGAGATAGAATTTTGTATTGACTTAATTCCTGACACAGCCAATTTCAATTCTTCCTTACCATTTGGCATTGACAGAACTTAAGAAAGTAAAAAAACAATTGCAAGACCTTCTGAACAAGGGTTTCAATTGTCTGAACACTTCTCCCTGGGGTGCTTCGATGTTGTTTATAAAGAAGAATGATGGAAGTATGTAGTTGTGTATAGATTACTACCAACTCAATAAGATGACAGTTTGTAATCTGTTGCCTCAAATGGACAATTTATTTGATCAGCTTCAAGGGACAACATGTTTTTCAAAGATAAATTTGAGATTACGGTATCATCAACTGAGGATCAAACCAGACGATATTCCAAAGACTGCTTTCTAGACTAGATATGGGTATTATGAGATTTTTGTTATGCCTTTCAAGTTGACAAATGCTCCAACTGCTTTCATAGATTTGATTAATCAAGTGTTTAAATCGTTCATAGATCGATTCTTGATTGTTTTCATCGATGACATCTTAGTGTACTTGATAAATCCAATTTATATTATATTTATGTACTTAATTTTATTAGATTTATTAAGTATTTCCTGCTATTTGAGGCTAAAAT